TCTACTTTTGTGTATGAAATATTAAGATGCATTTTTAGAAAAATGCAAACCTCATCGAAATTGAATTAGTTCTGTAATCACTTGTGTGGTTATATTGAAATTTTGCTAGCACACATATTTTTTGGTTCATCTCAAAAACTGAAACTTGTGTGCCAAGTTATATTGAAATGGACAAAACATAATGAAAGAATTTCACAGAAAATTCTATTTTTCTTTATATCATTTGTAGCATTTTGGCTATTTTTAGTAAATGAAATCAAAAACTGATACGCACATGTATTTAGTGTGCTTTGTGTGCCAAGTTAATTAATTAGTAGGATAATAAATGTACAATGAAATGCATAATTATTTGAAAGGCAAAATGCATAGTAAATGTACATAATGCTTAACGCATAGAAAATGCATCAAGTCTTTCCGAGAGCGATTTAAAAAAACTAGCCTTTTCGAAAAGCACATGTAGTATTTTATGTAGTAACCCATAAATGCATTAAATGCAACTCATTGAGCTGATTGGTATATTTGTCAGTCATATTGGTTCCTCACTGATCAGACGTCACAAAAATATTTTCCTCGACCTGATTATTCTCGCGATGCTTTTCCCGCGCACATGCGCAGATCCAGGATAAACGGTCAGTCCTTTATAAATATGCACGAGGATATCGTGTTCTTTTCCGGACCAGTACTTTGTTAATACCGAATAATATTTCGTCGAATTTTCAAGAATGCTTCATTTTTGATAGCTTATCATAATTCAGAAATTTTTGTTCGGTTTCAGCTGTGCAAAAATACTGCTTAACAAGGCACACATATCTTTAAGCTTACAGCTTAAGTGTTGTATTATTTGTCTATTTTGAGGCAAAGTCTGTCAAATAATGTGTGAAGAATACATGTATACTTATATAAAGCTGCTACAATAAGTAAAACATATTTGAAAAATAAGCCAACTTTACACATATGTGATTTTGAATGTTTGATATGAGGAATATCATTTAAAATTGATCACATTAAAGCAAACACGTTCTTTCATGTAGTACTAGTACTTTGCATTTCTTATTATTATTTTCACACTGCATGTGAAAAAAATATCACTTATATTCAATGGACGAAATATATTGCAAGAATTTCACTGTTGAAAATGATGTATGTATTGTCTTAATTCATGAAAACAAGAAATGCTTTGTTAAAAGAGGATTTAGTGTAGTTGTAAGTTTTGTCAAAACTCAGCATTTTTTTTGTTAATATTTAGTAGAACTACGATTGTATAAAGATAAAAAAAATATTTCGAGTTAATTTTCTGACGTAAAAACCTGGAAATCCATGGGCTTACAGGGCTTCGCTATAAATGGTTTATCGAGTCACTGAGATTTTTTTTTATATACATATAATAAAATAATTCCATGGTCATACATGTATAGTCAGGGAAATTTTGGCTATAAGTTATAAAACTGATTCCTGGACTAAATCCGTTATTTTGCGTAAACGGGGAAGAAGGGATGTTGGCAGGTATAACAAAGTAGTGGCGCTGTGGGGCCGAAATAAATCGTAAAGGGTAAATTTAAGATGCCGTTTCCTTATGTATATATAGTGAAGCAAAGAAATGTCTTTTGAACAAATCCACCTCATTCCTTAAAAAAAAAACGTATACCCTACCAACAGCGCATAGAAATAGATTATTTTTACACGTTTGGGAAATGATATAACATGTTTTTTTCTTTTTTATTTTCATTTGTTATTGCTCATTAAGGAATTTCTGGATTGAAAATTTTTGGACTAAGGATAACCCTTTCCCACATTGAGAAATCCCTGAATCCGCGCCGGAATAAATAAATAAATAAACATGTCCAACCATCTTCAAAACTTAAATTTACAAATATGTCCCCATTTCTGTTCTTTGTGTATGAGGGACTGAGTAAAGGTCCCCAATTCTGTAAGCTTATGAGAAGTTGGGTCCCCTACATTTACACAGAGGTCCCCATATTGGCACTTCCGGGTCCCCATTTTCTAAATTTATGAATATATCATTCTAGCTCAAAGACTCAGTCTATTTACTTATTCCAGGATACTGACGGGGTAAAATAAGTTAAACAATACCAATTCTGCCACGAAATCGCTTAGTCCCCATTTTAAGATTTTTTGGCAGGGTCCCCAGATCGAAGTCCAAATATCCACAAAATTAATGTTTGAATATGTTTTACCAAGCTTTATCAAGGGTTTTCACGGTAAACGGGATTTAATGGCAGTTACACATTTTTACTTTGACAGAGCTACTTGAATATCGTCTGCTGTTCGATTGCGGTTTTCTATCATGAAATATGGGTTTAATTCACATGAAATGTTTACTTACAGTTGATGAAAACATCTCTCGGATCCATACCATATTACTCTTATTGTTATTGTGTAATTTAATTCCATTTTTTGTAGTTATAATTCTCGTTGTACGGCAGCCTTGTTTGACGTTGTTTGACAGTTTGACAGATCTCTGTTTGTACGGCGCCGTCAGCGCTGTGATTGGTCGCGTGTCACCGTACAGCTTTTTCATTCGTTAATTTATGTCACATGACTACTTCCGAAGGTTATAAATATAAGTGCCTCGCAGTTTATTTTCAGATAAGTTGCATCAGCAGCACAAAGGAGTTTAAGCTAAATACTAGGTGAGACAACTGAAATTATCTCCCAACACACTGGACACCTGATGTTAGAATTTTTAGAGCTTTTTAATTCCAAATCAACTTTATTATCCCCTTTTTACCCTTGAAAGTACGGTTGACACTACTGACCAAAGCAAATATTAATTATCCATATGTATCCAATATAGATGTTTGTTTACCTACTGTCATTTCCTGTTTGATGATCAATTAATAAACCAATTATTAAACTGATACCAAGCCTTGTCCTTACTGAGAAATATGAAGCAAGAAATAAGGAGTGACCTTGAGAAGTATTGTGTGTAATTATTTTGTATAGCCCCCATTCCAGGATGGCCATCCGTGGGGAGCTTACAATTTTTGGTGTCAGAAGTGGGATGCCTATTTTTCTAAAGGCATCCAGTGAAACAAACCCATTCCCTGCCCAATAACCGCTCAGTTGTCCAGTGTGTTGGTATAACTTGTACATAATGTAAATAATGTGTTTGTTAACTTATAATTTGTGTTTTTGCATTTTAATTAATACTAGTAAGATGGCAAAGGCTCAATCCCCAGACCCTGAAGTGCAATTTCGTGTTGATGTTGATGAGTTAGGCCAAGGTGACCAGTTCTTTGACTCTCCCTCCTCCCCTAAACGTCCAGAGAGACCTAGCCTTACCCCACGTCCCAATGCAATTAATAAATTTATTTTTTTATGATTTAATTGTGTCAACATTTATTGGGAATATTATCTGGGTGGATTTTATTATGCATTAATAACTACACTACGACATTTCAGTCTTTTGATTATTTACTTAACATGGTATCGTCTATTTTTAGCACATTTGACATACTTTTTGCTTGGATTTATACAGGAAATGCTATATTTTATGAATTCATGTACATACCTTTAAAATCTTTTCATGTAACTGTATTTAACTTGATTATTTATCAGTCAAATAGGTGCCTGAACTTTTCATAATTGCACACGATTGCAGGAGCCATGAGGTTGTTTACCTCCCGCCGACATCTTATTTGTATTAGCCACGGTTTCGTATTTGAGCAAGTTGTATTTTGTTATGCAATTCGATGTTATATTTGCTTGTGAATATCCACAAAATTAATGTTTGAATATGTTTTACCAAGATTTATCAAGGTTTTCACGTTAAACGGGATTTAATGGCAGTTACACATTTTTACTTTGACAGAGCTATTTGAATATCGTCTGCTGTTCGATTGCGGTTTCTATCATGAAATACGGGTTTAATTCACATGAAATGTTTACTTACAGTTGATGAAAACATCTCTCGGATCCATACCATATTACTCTTATTGTTATTGTGTAATTTAATTCCATTTTTTGTAGTTATAATTCTCGTTGTACGGCAGCCTTGTTTGACGTTGTTTGACAGTTTGACAGATCTCTGTTTGTACGGCGCCGTCAGCGCTGTGATTGGTCGCGTGTCACCGTACAGCTTTTTCATTCGTTAATTTATGTCACATGACTACTTCCGAAGGTTATAAATATAAGTGCCTCGCAGTTTATTTTCAGATAAGTTGCATCAGCAGCACAAAGGAGTTTAAGCTAAATACTAGGTGAGACAACTGAAATTATCTCCCAACACACTGGACACCTGATGTTAGAATTTTTAGAGCTTTTTAATTCCAAATCAACTTTATTATCCCCTTTTTACCCTTGAAAGTACGGTTGACACTACTGACCAAAGCAAATATTAATTATCCATATGTATCCAATATAGATGTTTGTTTACCTACTGTCATTTCCTGTTTGATGATCAATAAACCAATTATTAAACTGATAGCAAGCCTTGTCCTTACTGAGAAATATGAAGCAAGAAATAAGGAGCGACCTTGAAAAGTGTTGTGTAATTACTTTGTATAGCCCCCATTCCAGCATGGCCATCCGTGGGGAGCTTACAATTTTTGGTGTCAGAAGTGGGACGCAGTATAGTTAAGGTTTCCCAAAGATATTTGATCAGGAAAAAATTCCGCGAAATCTTTGTCTCTATCTGTGACGTCATAATGACTTGCTTCTGCTCTTGCACTTTCCATTGAACGAACGTCAAATCGCCAATATGTTTCAAATTAAAGGTTTGCTATTTATATTTTTTTGAAAGATAAGACATATGCATTATGTTTTCCTCCTTATATGTTTAAAATATGCTTCTTTTGCTTGTTTTCAATTATATTCTCGCGCATGCTCAATCCCTCATATTTACCACTCGGAGTTCCTCGGATGACTCGTACCTCGCACATATAGTTTGAATGGAGCGTAGCGGAGTCAGCCGAGGATTGCCGATTGCATATTTACCAATCCGTGTCGCCAACACTCTTGTCAGTCTAGACATCGATGATTTTCCCACGGGCAGGTGCGTGAGGAGAGAGGACAGAAAACGAAGCAGAAATGCCGTTCGGGGTGACGAAATGAAAAGTTAATAGTAAGTTGATATGATTTAAGCTTTATTTTTCTTCTTTTAGGTGTTTTGAGCAGATCAGGCGAAGACAATAGCTTTTACAAAGTTGCGGAGTAAACCATGTGGCTTTGACCATGTGGTCTTATATTTTTTGTCGCACTGACTTCAAGATTAATAGACTTAATTATTTTTAAGTAATATATATTGATCTGCACATGAAATGCCATGCCCATGAGATGCTGTAACAAATCTGGATAGTTTATATTCATTTTTTTTTTGGGGGGGGGGGGGGGGGTATACTGTTTTTATGTTACCATGATCATGATGAAAGAAATAATGAACTGAAAGAAAAAACCTAAACAGTTTAACCATTTCAACATAAAAAAAGTATTTTGCAAAAAGCAAAAAGCAATATCCTAAGTAGAGCTGATTATTATTAAATAAAATATGAAATTCTAAGCAGAATTGTTGAGCATGTTGAGTGCATGGAATATTTAACATATGCTTTATAGAACTATAGATTTACAGTCAACTCATACACAAACCGACTCGTACACAATCCGAGTAGTACGCAAAAAGTCAACTCGCACAAAAATCTGAAGTCAAGTCGAACACAAATCAGGTCAACTCGTACATTATATAAATATTGCATGTAGTTGAGTGTAACATTGAAAATGTTCACCCCTCGAAAACCATTATCAACAGAGGTGAAGCCGAGGATGAAAATGGTTTTCGAGGGGTGAAAATTTTCAATGTTACACTCAACTACACGCAATATTTATTATATTATACTGAATGTTTTATACAAATACATATCACAGTGAACCGTGCGCGCATAAATTCCGCGCAGTCACTATTTTTTTGGAATACCACCCATCGTCAAGCAATGATGACTGTTGCTACGCAGGAGGGCGTGGCTTCATTTTTCAGCAGGTAGTAGTGTTTTTTATCAAATGTTTCTCGACAAATCCGATTCAAGTAATTTACATGAAAGTATGATATAACATTTTATTTACAACTGTTATTAATATGAATTACTTTTATATAAATAAAGTATACTCAAGAAAAAATAGAATAAGGTGGAAAAGAAGTGTTAATTAATTTTTTTTCATAAATATTTTACATGTTTTAGTGGTTTAACATTTAATTAACCTGGCATCTCTAGTCAGGAATTCAAACAATTATTGTTAAACCAACACAAGCGCGGTATCTTTTTATTTCAATTTGATAAGGTTTGTTTTGGAAATTTCATGCAATTATAAATGCGATATTCCATTAAAATATTACGTTGTTAGGTATATCGATCATATTTACTATCTACACTGTATACAACTATATACATATGTTACGGAGTCCTAAAATTTCTAACTTTCTAAAGTAGATATAATAATAAATAAAATATTTATGCATCTGATTATATTCAAATCTACATGAATAGTACATAATATATTATTTGCATGAACATGGTGAAAGAAGACAATTTTTAAAATGTTTCACAATCTAGAATAATCTAACTGTGCCTCGGTACCGATAGAACATTTTATCTACATTGACACCTCAAATTTAATTATGGGCAAATCAATTAAAATCAGAAGCATTTATGAAATAGATTGAAATGTACAAGAAAAATCTTTGTGTATGAGTTGACTTCTCAATATTCCACACTACATGAAAACCTATGTAGGAATGACAAAAGTTTTGTGTACGAGTTGACTTCTGGTTTGTGTATGAGTTGACTTTTTTTGTACGACCTGGTTTGTGTACATCATCATTTTTGTTCGAGTTGACTGGACACCGAACTATTGTATGCCAGTGATCTCCAAAATTTCATCAGGGTGACAGTCCGATAGATTCCATAAGACCATAATAAAAATATTCCTAAATTCTCATCCCTGCCCACCCCAATTTTATACCACCGCCTCATTTTTTTATTTCTGTTTTTCTTTGTCTTAATTCTGATCGGGATCGGTATTCATCTACCATTCTACTTTGGTTTTAAATCCTGTGAAAGTCGACATTATTTTGACAGCTGAAAAGATGGTAATTGCTATAATACATGTTTATATATTTTAAACAAGGGTCATTATGGTCATGGGTTGAAAAAGATTGGTGATGATGTGAAGTAAGAGATAATTGAACCTTTAAAGTCCTTTACTATGACTTTTATTCGAGTATTGTAGATAAAATAACACTGACTAAACAGGTCAATAAAAAATATGCAAAACTGAGAAAAAAATATATATATATAGAATAAAGCTGCCAACCTGCCTCGACTTTTAAAAAAAGTTCAGATGAGAATCTAGCAATTTATTTATTATGGCCTTACCAGACAACATGTTTTTTTTGTATTTTTAAACATCTATTGGGATATAAATACAGGTTGGTCACGAGATTAAATTCCATAAAACCCAAAGGGCTTTATGTTGAATTTAATCTCGTACCAACCTGTATTTAAAGCCCGATAGATGTTTTAAAATGATACCTTATTACTTATATTTACATTTGTGACTTATTCATACTTTATATTTGCCTGATTTTGACTTTTAGGGTGAGAAATGCATTATTTTTTAAACTCAACGGCAAGTATGTAATCTACTCATCGCGCGTCAACCCTTTATGACGTCACTGAGAAATTACGTCAAACGATTATCCAAACGCACATCTCTGACCTCTTGACCCCGTACATGTATTTATACAGTTATAGATACGCATTCTTTTTCAGTAGTGTTATATAAAGGAAAACATTTGCAAATGTAAATATTTATATTTACTCACCATTTATACTGTGCATTTCCAAAAGAGAGATATTAAAAAAATGATATGATAGGCCCCTCATCCCTTCACAGTTTGAATTTTAGAATGAAAATTGTTTATATATTGTCAGAAAGACGAATTAATTAATTAAATAATAATGTCAATTCAGACCATAGATTAATTTTTCTAACAAAATTTTGCCTGGGACGATGTGTTGATTGCCACGGGCTTAGGTGTCGTTCGACCGGGATGTCTTTCTACCTATTTATACTAGTATATACTTGTATTTTATTGGGTTTACTTTTAGTGTCAAGTATATTATGCCTGCTATATACAGCAATTACAAAGAAAAAAAACTTTAATAGTTAATAAAAAAAATAAAATATAGAAAATAAAAATATTCTGTTGTATTTTCAGTTTCCTAACATCAGCCTTGACTATGATAAGTTTGCCTGCAGTTCCTCTGAAGAAGACGTCTCCGATGACAACAATCCATTTGTTCTCAAGAAACGTATGTATTAAAAAAAAAATGAAGAAACTTTTGGAGATAATTTATGTTTGGAAACTGTATTGCTGACTTGTATGTACTACATCAGGGGTTTAAATTTTCCCCAAAAATTCACTGGTCCAAGGATTATTAAGCAAGTAAATTTCACTAGTCCGTATCATAAAATTACTAGTCCAAAGTTTAAAGAAAAATATGCTTAGTTTTAAACAATTTTTAATCAATTTGATTACAATGGGGTTTTTGTCAGTACTTTGTGGCTTGGGGCTTGTGCCTCAAGAATTGGGAATTTCAGCTTCAATTTAATTGGGGAATCTTCCAGAAAACCCAGTCATTTAAAAGCATTGTCAAAATACTTTGTTTTTGTCTTTGTATTATATAAACAAACAGTTGTTATAACAAATCAAGACTATTCTTGGTATGAATTATCTAATAATTACTTGCATCAAGAACAATAGTGGTATGAATTAACTAACGAAGAAAATCCAACATGGATGAACAACCACTGAAAACCTGCTTGAACTTTACTTTAAATCAGGGGTTCAAAAATTTTTTTGTCATGGTCAAGTCCAGGACTTGAAGAGTAAATTTTAGGCAAGTCCGAGGAAGAAATTTCAGAGTCCATATTTACCTATACATCATTAAATTTATGTAACTTATAATTTATTTTCATTTGTTGCATTGAATAAATAAAGACTATATGTATTAATATATGTTTTATTTTTCCTCCATAAACTGTCGTATATACTCATGTCTGATTATAATAATCAGACATGAGTATTTCAACACAATACCAGACTGATAGATTACTGGTACATCACATTAACTTTTACAAATACTCACTACTGAATAAACTATCTGTTACAATAAACAGAAATTAGAATGTGCTGTAAGTCACAGCTAAAACCGAAATTTAAGAAACTCATTGCCATTTGTCATATAGGAGGAAACATGAGGAATTGCGAAAAAGCAAGAGTCTAACCGCAACGGAAAATAAAAAGACGGATTGTATTTTCGAAACGTTCGTAATGTTTTATGGGTATTTTAACGCCCACAAACACACATTTATCCTTAATACATTTGAGAATTTGCTTTATTTTTATCTCTACGATCATATTTTTAACTTATAAAAAAAGATAAACAAGAAACATAGCCAAGTCCCAGGACTTTGGCGAATTCTAAATGCCGAGTCCGGATCCAGAATTTGTTAGTCCGGGACGTCGGGCTTGAGGATTTTTGAACCCCTGTTTAAAACATGCAATAAACAAACTTAATTTGATTACATATTTCGTAAGTTTTTCTTTGGGATAACCTCCACTATATTTAGGGAAAATACAGGCATATTCTCAATTGGAATTGGGCCGAATTTCGGCCCAAAAATCGGCCCCAAAAATCACGGGATTAATTTTTTTTTCTTCTCAAAACTACTAGTCCGACGGACTATTAGAGGGTAACAATAAGCTAGTCCGCCCCCATAAACTTTAGGTCCCGGACCTCGGACCACCGTATTTTTAAACCCCTGTACATATAATGTGTAATATATATGTTGACAGGGAAGGTTAAGAAATTTCCCAAGGACCTGAAG